AGAAGTGAAAATGCAGGCACAGGCCTGTTTTCGTTTAACTTCCCATGCAATTGAAATGAAATGAGTCCAAGATCCCTCAAATCTGAGGTTTGGGCTCCCAGTGCACTCAGCTGAAGCAGAGATGCTACCACAGGACCATGATGCAGACCTCCCACAAGCCGCCCATCTCTGTCTCCACCTCCACTTCCATCACCATGCCCATGCCCATGCCCATGCCCACAGCCATCTCCATCATCTCCAGCCCCATCTCCATCTCCTTCTGGCGTGCTCCCAACACACTGCTCTTGCAGTAGCCTGCGCACCTCCAGGGAATCAATCATGTCCCACAGAGGCAGAAAAGTTGGGGAGCATGCAGGCAGGAGCTGGGGGTGGCAGGGCTGGGAAAAGAAACCTTGCAGAGAACATTAAATTAAAATCCAGGCAATTAAATTAATTACCACTAAAAGCGTCTCACCTGATTAGTTCCTCGCATACTTAATTGCATTAACAACACCAGGCATTCGCTTATTTATTTGCCGCCCTCTCTCCCAGGGCTGGTTGCCCCTGCAGTGCCCAACTGGGCTCCTCAGCTGCGCAGTGCTCAGGGGGGCTCTGAGCCTCCAGCAAATGGGAAGACACAGTAACAGGAAACGGCAGGATTTGGGCTCTAACGCTGAGCAATTCCCACGGGTCCCTGAGTGGATTGACAGGGATTACTATTAGTGAGGTGCTTAGCAGATGGAAGAGCCATTGCAAAGTCACGGCAATGCCACAGCTGCAGAGAAGTTAGTCGGACGCTGAAGCCCCCTCCCCGGTCCTGTCTTTTCCTCCAGACCTGGGCTGCAACTCCCTGTGCGCTGGCATGCCCCGGGACCTCTCCCCAGATGCCATCTGTCAAGAACGTGCCCAAGCACAGGAGCTGCATGTCCTCTCTGTGCTGCTGCCCGCACCGCACCCAGCTCCTGCCTTCCCTGTCTCCGAAGTACCCATGAACACCTCCTCACCCTGACGGCAGGGCTAAGAGACCCCTGCCTCATCTGCCACTGCCTTTCTGTCTGCCATGCTCCAAGTCTCCACACCAACTCGTTGCCATATCCCCTGCCCTGCGCTGCCTGCTCCCCCCGCTCCTGTGTCTCACATTGCCTTTCAGCTTCTGCCAGCACATGCCAGGATCCCTCCCAGTAGACTCTAAAGCATAATTTGGACACCGTGCAGCATCCCTGAAACTTGGATTTATTCAGGCTGATCTACAAGTGCAGTGACCCCTGCCTGTCCGGTTTGCAGGGCTTACACAGGCCATGGCTGGCCCTCCTGTGACCCTCTGCCCCTGGACCACAGGCTAGGATGGAAACATCACCCTGGCGCTGATGCAAGGCGCTGAAGGTGAGATGAGGACCAGAGAAAGGCTCTGCCGCATCTCTCAAACCTGGGAATGTACGGCCACCTACTCGACGTGTTCCCAGCTGGTGGGGCTCCCGGCTGGTGCCTGGCAGCATCATCTGCAGCAGTCACCATCCCACAGCCAGCGATGCTGGCTGGTGCTCCCACACACCCACTGCTGCCAGTTGCAGATGCCGTACCATGAAACACACGGTTGCTATCAGCTGTACAAACGCAGCAGCCCACCAGACACACGGCTGCTATCAGCTCTCAGCATCATGTGAAATACAGCACAACTCTTATCTCCCGCACCTCATGAATCAACGCACTTTGTGCTTAAGATATGCTAAATCCTGGGAAGCGTGCAGCTGTCCTCCAACACGTCCCTGCACAGGGGCTCCACAAACACACAGCAACTGCCACCACCTTTTGGCTGCTCCTCTGAAACAACTGTGTTGCAGTAACCCTGGCTATGACTTCTCCTTCCCTTCTGCAACGCCCTCTGACTCAAGCTCTGCCCCCAGCCTTTCCAGCTGCAGAGATGGTGGTCGTGGCACTGGGCTGGATGGAGAAGCAACATCCCTGGAGAATCTGCCAGCTTTACTACAAAGTTTGGGGAAGGAGTGCTGATTCCAGCATCTTACTGCTGGGATAGTACACCACAGGGAGCTGATAAGGCAGGATGCAGCAGGCGACTGTATGTATGGGATGTACAGAGGTTGGCGTGGCAGGAGGGGGCTGTGAGGGGTCAATATGGGAGCAAAGAACGTGGCTCTGTCCCCCTCAATGTCACGTGCTAGGGTACTTACTTCCCACTCTCAGGTAGGTCTGGTATTTGAGGTGCCAGGAGGAGCCCTCGTAGCACGAGTACTGGCCACTCTGTGTCAGGTCGACGTTCTTCAGGATCAGGTAGGACCCATTCAGGTGGGACTCATCGATGTCAGTGCCATTGGCTGTCCAGGTCACGGCTGCGTCCCAGTCCATGGAGCCACACTTCATGGTCACATCTGCACCTACCCGCTCATACTGGATGTGGCTGTCTGTGGGGAGGAAGAGGAGAAAACCAGGTGAGCTCAGAGCCCTGTGGGCAGGGTGGCTCTGGAAATAGCATCTTACCATCACTTGTATAGGAAGCGAGGGAAAGACTGGGGCATGGACTGACATGTTTTGGTGGCCAGGGAAGCCCAAGTTCTCCTCTTGCTTCTGAGAATGAGTAATTTTAACATAAGACCCAAGCGAATCAAATAGCGTGGGCCAGCAGATCGGGACTCATGGACCACCTCCATACCTCCATCTCACGGAATGCTTTCCTCTGAACCTTACCTTGGAGGAGACATGTCAGAGATGCACGTATAGCTCACAGGCCAAATGCCCCACAGCACAGCCAGACATTCACACCAGCAGGTCATTGCCACTCGTGTATCTGTTTGGCTTGTTGCAGGATGCAAACCAAATGCACACATCAGAAATTCCCAGCAGAGAGGTGACAGAGCCCCAGGACTTGTCACCAGCAAATTCTAGCTATTTATTAGCGGAGGTGGGAAGCAGGCAGCTGCCCTTCCAATTCCCCGCCTAGGAAATCAGGTAGGAGCATTGTAACATAACTGCGCCGTGCTTTGGAAAGGGGCAGCTGCTCGGTGCATGCTATGCTGTTTGTTTCTCTGCCTGGCTTTTCTTCTCTCTACAATAACATGATGCCTTGCTGAGCTGTTTGATTTAGCATCTTGCGAGTGGGGCAATACAGCTCATTGGGCACCAGCTGCCTAATTGAATTTTCTCAGGTTTCTGGACAGGAGCTCGAGATGACATTCATTAATGATCCTTAGCAATTGAATCTTTCCTGTGTTGCTATGCTGGCTGTGCTGAGCTGCGTGTGGCAAGGATAAAACCATGCGTGTTTGTGTATGACATGGGGTGAAGTAGGACAGGGTCTTGAGCAGAGGATGAGGTTCTTTCAAGCCTTCATCAAGCCTTTGCGCACAGACAAGGGCTGTTTGGTTCTCAGAATACTCCTGGGTTTCAAAAACAGATTTGACAAGGTGCCTACCAAGGAAACCAAGCAGCCCTGACACATAAGGAAAGTCCTTGCAAGGATTTATAGCAGCTAAAGGTCAGGAGACCAAAGGTGAGAACAAGTGGTCAGACGTGGCAGTAGAAGGTGCATTTGGTGAAGTTTGACAGAGATCAGAGCAGGATCAGAGCTGCCCAACACCCTCATAACTCACAGGGAGAAGCAGGTCGAGGCGGTGAGAGGAGATGGCGTGCTGCTGAGGCTGTCAGGGCAGCCAAATTACAGCTGGCTGCAAAAAGCATTGCAGAAGGACATCATGGTGCAGACCAGCCAGGCAGCAACACCGTGTCAATAAATGAACACGGATGCACATGGGAAAATGAAGCCTTGCTTCCCCTACCACTCATGGCTCCAAATGATCTGCAGCCTCCATGGAAACATATCTTGGAGTTACCATGCTCAGCTCTCTGAAAACATTAGCTCAGCAGCGGCCGAAAATGCAAACCCAATGCTAGGAATTCGTCAGAAACGAGTTGAGAAGAAAATGGAAAGCACTGTACCCTAAAAAGCCACACATAGATCTGTCCCTGTGCCATTAGGAGTACAGTTCAGCTGAAAACGGAGCAGAACGAGAAAACAGGGAAGAGCAAAGGCTGGAAACAACCCCCGTGTAAGGATGGCTTAGCAGACTTGATCCCTTCATCCGTAAAATGAGACAACCGAGCAGAGACGTGATAGACACCTAAGCAATTATGAGTGACATGGAGAGGATGAATAGAGAAGGACTGCTTGCTCCTTCTCCTAATAAAACAATTAAGGGGCAGCAAACCAAAACCAGCAAAAGAAAGTGCTTTTTTGCAAAAAGTGTAATTAAATTACAGAAACTCACGTCCATCAGATGCTTGAGATGTCAACATTTTGGGGAAAACAGTGATTAAATGAATCCATAGCAGAAGACACCACCCAGGGCAGAAAACACTGAGCTGCCTGGTGAGCTTGGGGAGGCTGCAGGCAGTGGGGAAGCATGGAAGAAGCACCTCCCATGCTCATCCTGCTTTTTTCTCCCTCTCTAGACATCACCTCCCGGGTCATGTTGATAGGTGGGACCACATGGACATGATCCAGCCATTCCTTGTGTGAAACCCCACACGCTGAGCCCCAGGGTGAAGCTGTCCCCGGGGAAGACCCTGGCGGATCTCAGTCATCCTGCAGACAGTCTGTCAGGCCACCTACTTCTGACACGGAAGCAGCAACTTTGGGTATGTTATCCCTGCTGGGAAAGGGGGTGCTAAGAACAGACGAATAAAAATTGGGTTGTAGCGGGTAGGATGCTGGTGAGATGTCTCAGAATCATCTCAGACAGTAGCCAAGGGCGCAGACCTTTGAGAAACTGCACTGATCAGACAAGTGTGTTTAAAGTGTCTGAAGAAAGCTTAGACTATATACTGACAGGCAGAAAGAGGGGAGAGCATCTAAGATGAGGTATTCGCGTGAGGAGGAGTAGCTGGAATGGGTCCAGATAAACAGGCAGATAGACAGAAGTGTGGAAGAAGATGGATGGGTGGATGGATGAATGAATGTGTGTGATCGCAGACAGATGGACAGCCAGCTGGATGGACACAGATGGGGTGGAGGGAAGTGTATGAAGATGAAAGGGTGGATGACTATATAAGTGGATGGATAGATGAATGGAAGGGCATATATGTGGATGCGGAGATGTGTAAGAAGATGGAGGGATAAGCGTATAGGCGGCTGGCTGGCTGGCTGTTTATGTGGATGGAGGCATGGGTAGACGGATGCACGGGGGGAGGGAGGGATGGAAGGACCAGTGAATAGCAGTGGTATTGGTTGGATGGTTGGCAGTTCGAATGTCTGTGGAGGTGGATGGATGGCTAAATGGGTGGATGGATGGATGGATACATGGATGGATGGATGGATGGATGGACAGATGACTAGGCAGATGGGTGGATGGACAGATATAGATAACAAAGCTAAAGTAAGAGTCCCAGCATCTTACTCAAGCTCTCCTCTAACTTCTTCTATTGCAGCAGGTAAAGACATTTTCTCTTCCCTTTTCCTGCTGGCTAACAAAAGGCCCTTGACTCTCCCAGCCTTACAGTTATGGATCTTCTCAGCAGAGACACTGGAGACACTGCACCACCCACCAGCCTTGCATGGAGAAAAGCTCACTGCAGCGATGGGCCCATAAGAGCTGCTTGCTTTGCCTGGCTCCTTTCTGCCCAGTGCCTGGCCCCCAAGAAGGTTTGAGAGTTGGGGGAAGCTTTGGGGTGCACAGCTCTGATACTCAGGACTGTGGCTGAGAGCTTATCTGCAACTGGTGGCAGCAGGACTAAGCTGGGAAGGGGGAAAAGGCACCTTGAATCATTTTGTATTTGTCCTTAAACACAGTGCAAACATGTTGGCACTCATCCAGAAGGGCTGAGGGAGCCATTCCTGGAAGACAGGTCTTTGAAAGCAATGCTCCTTTCCAAGGCAATCATTTAATGCCCCTGAAGGAGAAACCCAAAGCACAGCTTCAGAGCAGGTGTTTCTCCCAGACTGGTTTGCTGAGGCTCTGACTGGAGCCAAGCCAGGTCCCCACATCCCTCCTGCCCTGTGCCAGGCATAGGAGTCCTACCCAACCACACCGCCATGTGAACACATGGCAACCCCACTGGCAGGAATCTCTTCCTTTCAGGAAGGGGCGTCCTGGGGACTGCCCCCTCCCAGTGATGGAGCAGCCCTGTCTTGTGCTGTGGACACCAGCTCTGCTTTGGGATGGGAACGGGCAAGGGTGACCTGAACTCTTCCTGAGAGCCTACACTTCCCGCAGGCTGGGTACAAGCAGGACCCCCCTGTCCCCAGCCCACCCAGAGCCTCACGGAGGGAGGGCAGGGAGGTTTGTCCCGTCTCCTGGTCATCACTTCACTGGTAACACATGGAGGCTGAGATGGTGCCTGTGCTGCAGGGCCAGCCCTCCTGGATGGACACAGACCAATGGCACAGGAAGAACAAGGCACCACAGCCAGGGACTGCACCTTGGGAGGTTTGAGCTGGACGTGGAGGAAAATTTGTTCTCTAGGAGGGTGGTGCAGGTACCCACAGAGAGGAGGGTCTCCATCCGTGGAAGTTGTCAGGGCTCATTTGACAAAGCCATGGCCTACTGTTGGAGACAGTCCTCTTCTGAGTGGGACATGGGACAAGACATCTCCAAAGATCCCTTCCCACCAACACTGCTGAAATCATGGGCTAGAAGCGATCCTTAGAAAAGCTGCCCTGCCCCTGCACCACCTTGCTTCTCCAAAGTATGCTGCTTTTTAGGTCAGGTAACAGCATGAGGGTGAAGCACACATGATGGAGAGGCTATGATTCTGCACCCCAACCAGCAACATGCCTCTGAGCATCCAACCCCAGCAAAGGCGACATCCTCTGCTGCAGCACAGAACACATACCAGGCACAGCAGGGCTTATGACATAAAGTCCCAGAGCTGGAGAGCAGCTGTGGTGATGCATAACATGGGCAGAAATTACAGCTTTACCCACAGCCCTGCAGAGCTGCAGTGGAGGAAGACGGGAGCTGCTGGTGGGATAGACACACACAGCTCCCGGCAGGAGACCTGGGACAGCTCGGTGAAATGAGCTGTGAACTGCTGTGCTGCTGTCCTAGCCGTGATGAATGACAACTTGATGGCATGATCCATGCAACTGCAACGCAACAGGGACCAACGGGACAGTGGTCCAGCGGAGAGACACAGAGAGGAGATGAGACAAAGCAGCTGAGATGCAGGGCCCACAGGAACATGTTTGATGCTTCCCAAACCCACCCTGCTCAGCTGGAGATCCTCAACAGAAACCTCATCCTCATTTTCCTTCTTAGTGAATCTTGACCTGCATCATGACTGCGAGGGCAACACCACAGGGAAATCCTGCAAACCCAAGGGCTGTCCTGGCATGAACCACGCTGGGATGGAGCAAAACTCCTCTTGGGACTCTCCATCTCCACTGGCTGCTCTCCCTCTGTTCCCACTG